CATATTTTCTTTGTTCTGAGAGCGAAGATTGATGGTGCCAGCTGTACTAGGCACCCCTGGTCTTTGCTTTACAATGATGATGTTTTACAAGCAAAACCAGCAATTATATTGTTTTAGATGTGGTGGATGAATTTTTTCATGATAGAAACATGAAACATTTTTTCATGTCGTGCAGTAGAAATGTAATTTTGTGGAAATAATGTGATGCAGCGTGAAGCTGAGCTGCTTAAATACAAGTTCTTACGTTTTTGTTCCGTTAATGCATCCTCAGCTATATTAGTAGACCGAAATTCAGGTCATTATTGTGCCATCACCAAAACAAAAATGATTGATAGATGGCAAATAAGATTCAAAGCTGTACTTATAGAGTGACTTATTAGTTTAAGATCTTGGGAAAGGTGCTGAATTTCTCTGTGCCTTAGTTTCCTCATCTGGAAAATGGGGGTATTAATAGTGTTACTATCCTGGGTCATTGCAAGGATTAAATACATTAATATGCAATAGTAAAGTGCTTGCAATAGGGCCTGGCACATAGTAGTATATGAATGTTGGCTATCACAGTAAATTACTATGTGATTATCTTTGGGAAGTCAGACAAAATTTAGGTATGCATTTTTATCAAGTAGTATTACTTTTTTTTTTAATGCTTTGGCCAGGCTCATTGTGATGAAATCCAACGGTGATAAATACCAAATGTTTAAATGTTTTAAAACACAGTGGTGTTTTTGTTTTGTTTTGCAAACTTTTGATAACAAAGTACCCTAGGAGTTTTCCCTCTCAGATGGGATATATCTGTTATCAGTTAAGACATGCTTACTAAGTAGAACCTTAATTTTTCTCCCTTTTAGATCTGGTTGTTGGGTCTCTGAGTCTGTTACTCTTCCCCAGGCCCAGTGGCGAGCTCCTCTGCTCCTCTGCTTTTCACAGTTTGTTTGGAGTCTCTTCTCTGTCTTACTCACTGCAGGAAGGCGGCCGGCCCTCGTGGGGGGATACTTTGGAAAACGTAGATCTTGATTTTGCCGCTTGTCTGTGTACAATGAACAGCCAACCTGTGCCAGGTTTCTTCTAGGCTCTTCTTGGCTGAGGAATGACAGCTGGCTGCTCTGGTCTGCTGTGCATGTCTCAGTGGGTGGCCAGAATCTGAGCTAAAATACAGGAGATCCAGTCTTAAGCTACCCCAGTCTTTCCTATTGCAGAAATAGATGCCGTTATAGCTGAGAGACTTATAGTGGCAAGTTAATTTTCCTTTTCACACCACAGTAGTCTTTTCACAGATAATTTATTGAAATTCAAGATTATACGAATTGTAGGCAGAATTATCTGAAGCACAGCAAGCTCTTCCTGAAAGGCTTCTAGGCTTGGTTTTGAGAAGTGTGGGGAGGAAACAAATTTACTTCTGGGCCACTAATCTGAGGCCATCATTGCCTCTCTTTATCCATCAGTGCTTTAAACTTGTCATGACAGAACTATAAGATGGCTCAATGTAAAACCACATTCAGTAATTTGCATCTACTTCATCTCTTAAAAATGTTTTTGTTAAAGCATAATTGGCATAACATACACTAGTATGTTAGTTTCAGGTATACAACATAGTGATTCCACATTTATATACCTTATGATGTGATCATGACACAAAATCTACTATCTGTCACTGTGCAGTAATGACAATATTATTGACTACTAGAGGCCTGATGCAGGAAATTTGTGCAAGGGGCTCAGCCCTCACAACCCCTTGCAGCCTCGGCCAGCCCTCACAGCCCCAGCTTCGTCCGGAAGGTTGTCCAGATGGTCCTTCTGCTGTTTGGTCTAATTAGCATATTAGCTCTTTATTATATAGGACACTATCTGTCACTGTGCAGTTATGACAATATTATTGACTACTAGAGGCCTGATGCAGGAACTTTGTGCAAGGGGCTCAGCCCTCACAACCCCTTGCAGCCTTGGCCAGCCCTCACAGCCCCAGCTTCGTCCGGAAGGTTGTCCAGATGGTCCTTCTGCTGTTTGGTCTAATTAGCATATTAGCTCTTTATTATATAGGACTAGAGGCCCGGTGCACGAAATTCATGCGCGGGGGGCGAGGGGAGTCTCTCAGCCCAGCCTGCAACGATGCCAACATCCCTTGCTCTGGCCTCTGGCCTGAGGCCCCTCCCCTCCCTCCACGTGGACGGGGTGGGGACGCTGGGCTCGCAGTGCCACAAGCCCAGCATCCCTTTCCCCGGCCTCCAGCCCAAGGCCCCTCTCCTCCCTCCGTGTGGCCGGGGCGTGGATGCTGGGCTTGTGTTGCTGGGGCGATGCAGCCAGCGTCCCGCCCCAGCCACTATGGGCACCACCATCTTTGTCGCAGAGTAATTTGCATATTACTCTTTTATTAGTTAGGATATTCCCTGGCTGTATGCTACACCCTTGTGACTTATATGTTTTTTAACAGGCAGTTTATACCTCTTATCCTTAATCTTTTTAAAAATATATATATATTTTATTGATTTTTTACAGAGAGGAAGGGAGAGGGACAGAGAGCTAGAAACATTGATGAGAGAGAAACATCGATCAGCTGCCTCCCACACACCCCCCACCGGGGATGCACCCGCAAGCAAGGTACGTGCTCCTGACTGGAATCGAAGCTGGGACCCTTGAGTCCGCAGACCGATGCTCTATCCACTGAGCCAAACCGGTCAGGGCTTAATCTTTTTTTGATACTTGAGCAATGAATGGTACCTATAGTTACGGGATGCCAGAGCAAACTTTTCTTTCTATAGATCTAGTCTAGCATTCATCTGTTTATTTATCTACCAGTCCAGTTCTTGAACCAGAAACAAACATAGGTAATTTACAAGTAGACACAAAATGCAACTACAATCTATGGATTAAAAATTGGGTGACAAAGGAAAGAAACACAATAATCAGGGCATAATGAGTCAGAAAGGAAAGTGAAAATGCAATACCGTGTAGTGGTTTTGAAATTTAGCCTGCATTGGCCTGACGGGCGTATCTGTTAAAATTTCAGGTTCCTGGGCCTCCCGGGAACTCTGGCACCTACCCTGTTAACACGTGCCCCCAGGTGCTTCTCAGCCATGGTGTAGGACTGCACGCTACTCGCACTGACCTATTTACTTGCTGCATGTGGGGAACTTTGGCTCCAAGCTTTCTGGCAGTCAGCATGAAAAGGGAAGACCGTCTCTTCTTACGTGCAGAGATAACATCTTGGACATAAGGTGTAAATGAAGGTTTAATGATGCTTATATCAACTTTCATATCTGAATAAGATCTTGCATAGGAATTCAGGAAAAGAAATGTCTTCTCTTGTCCTCCCTAACAGGAAATATGTCATCCAGTCTGTTATACTCAATTAAATGGCATTAACTGATCTTTTTGGGGTATGTGCCAAAGTTCCGTAGGGAGAAAGGAAAGGAAGGAAAAGAAGAAAAAAAGCGGAGGGGGAGGGGAGTGTGTGTGTATTGGGAAATTACAAAAAAGGAAGAGGAGTGAGAGAATGAAAAATGATGTTGGCCATCGTTTTGGACAACAGTTTGCTATTATCTACAAAAGGTGAATATATTGCAAAACCCATGACCCAGCAGTTCCATTCCTAAGAGTGTCCCCTATGGAATTTGTGACATTAATACCAAGAAACATGAACAGAACATTTAGAGTAGCATGGTTTGTGTCAGAATATTGGAAACAGTCCAAATGCCCATTAACAATAGAAGCGATAAATTGTGGAATACGATGGCATACTAATAGCCACAGAAGTGAATCAGCTACAGTTATGAGTAATAACATGGGTGAATTTTTAAACATACTGCTGATCAGAGGAAGCCAGATAGGCGAAAATCTTTACAGCATGAGTCCATTCCTGACAACTTCAAAGTGGGTAAAAAGAGAACTGATACATTTTTAGGGATGCACACTCAAAAGTCGGGAGTCCCTATCTTTCTAAGGAAGAAAGGGGCTGGGAGGAAACATGGGGATCTTTGGGATGTTGACAGTCATTCATTTCTTTACTTGGGTGATAGTTATGTATGTGTCTGTTTTAATATAATGTGGTTGTCTGTACTTTTCTCTATGTGTGTTATTTTTCACAATAAAAACATTTTTTAACTGTTGAGGGAATGTTACCGCCAGGTTCATGGATAAACAAATGGAAGTATATCCAGACAACGGAATATTACTTTGCAATAAAAAGGAATAGACTGTTGATACATGCAACAGATGGATGATCCCAACATCATTCTGCTGAGTAAACCACTCAACAAAGGATATACTGTAAAATTCAATGTTTATAAAATTCTGGAGAGTGGGAACTATTGTAGAGCGACAGAAAGTAGCCCAGTGACTGCCTGGGATTGGCAGGGTAGAAGTGGGAGGGAGGGTTTACAAAGGGCACCAGGCAACTTCGGGGAGTGATGGAGATCTTTATTATTGTAATTGGGGTGATATTGTTGCAGGTGTATCTAAATGTCAAAATTTAACAAATTGTGTTCTTTAACTATATGCAGATTATTGCATGTTAATTATACCTCGATAAAGCTGATAAATAAAAGTGTGTGTGTGTGTGTGTGTGTGTGTGGTGTGTGGCGGGGGGATAGGAGGGTAGGGAATAAGGTATCAGAAATGCCAAAGAAATGGAACAATCCGAGCATTCTCATGATTAAGGGTGGAAACCATGCCAAAAGTGAGGGAGAGGCACTATGAACTTGGATATGCCCAGTAGGCCCAGCACCTCGTCATGTATTGGGGATAACCATCCATTGACTCGCCGTGCCTTCATTTGAAAATTGGACATAAATACCTTTCTTCTCATGATCTCTTACTGAGTGAGGGGAGAAAGAGAAGAAATCTCACAGGGACCAATTTACCTGCTCACTCACAGCTGGCTCAGACATGTCGGTGTTAATGGGGAATCGAGTCAAGTCTCTGTGTTTACTTGTCTTCCATGTTCCCCTTCCATTAATGTACATTGTCCTGAGGTGGCTAACAGTGTTTGGTTGTAAAGTCTGACCCACTGAGGTGTTAGACAAAAGGCATATTCTAATGTATACATTTTTCAAAATACAAAGAGTTCAAGGCCGTGTATTATATTCTGTGTTCAATTTTAGAAATGCACTAAAATAACCTGTTTTGGAAGGCAGATTTATCTGTGACACAGAATGAACTAACAGCAAAGATCATAGATGTTCATGGGCTCCACAAATTCAACTGCACTGTGTACGGTTCCCTATTTGTTCTTAGCTATACTTGTTACTCAGATAAATATAAGTTACATCATTTTTTGAAATCATATCTAACTCAGAGTGAAATACCAAAGGGCAGCTATTTAAACAGTTAAGTAGATAGAGATTTTGGAATAATTAAATATTTTAAAGGTAGGATAAACTATTAAGTCATTCTACTTTTCTTTAAAATGCTGAGTTCTGTGGTTACAGGTTTCTAGAAAGACAAGTAATACTTCTTAACAAATCTGCTTTAGTCATCTGAAAATTTTATATTGAATGAAATAAGCACTACACATATTTTTGTTTTGTGAGATACTAAAATAAGGAATAATTACTTAACACAGTAAGAAATGAAAAGATGAAGAATTAGGCACATTCATAAGATAAAAACTCTAACAAAACTAGAGAAAATTATAATTTGCGTACTCTTCCTTTCATATAGAAAAAAATGGATTAGGTTATTTTTTAAAAATTATATATATTTTTATTGAGTTCAGAGAGGAAGGGAGAAGGAGAGAGAGATAGAAACATTAATGATGAGAGAGAATCTTTGATTGGCTGCCTCCTGCACATACCTTGCTGGGGACTGAGCCCACAACAACCTGGGCATGTGCCTTGATTGGGAATTGAACTGTGGACTCCTCGTTCTTGGGTTGATGCTCAATCACTGAGCCACACAGCTGGGAGCACGAGGGGACTTTTTGATACTGGCTTTTCATAAGAATAATGAAATTCACCATATCTTTCATAACCTTTTCCCACTCCCTCTCATTCCTTTCAATTCAAAAACATTCACACCAAACATTTTGCAAATTCATCCTGCAATAGAAAATAACTTATTTTTAAAAATATGTATTTTTGTTGATTTTACAGAGAGGAAGGTAGGACAAAGAGTTAGAAACATCAATGAGAGAGAAACATTGATCAGCTGCCTCCGGCACACCCCCTGCTGGGGATTGAATCCCCAGCCAAGGTACATGCCCTTGACCAGAATCGAACCTGGGACCCTTCAGTCCCTGGCTGACGCTCTATGTGCTGAGCCAGACCGGTTAGGGCGGAAAATAACTTTTACCCTTCCTTGTGCCTCACATCTAATTTACTTTGCCCTCATGTTGGTAACTGAGCAGAACTGAGAAATACATTTTGAAATCAAGAATTACATCTCAAAATCCTGGATCTGTCCCAGTTTTTCCGCATCAGCTTCAGTCGGTAGGATTTTGACTAATAAATTTGGAATCATCTGAGAACATCTTAAACTCAACTGTCACTGTTTTTCCCCTAGTGGCAGCTAAACACCGCGTTCGAGGGCGTTTGCCAGAATAAACAGCCTGAATCATTCGGGAGATCTCTGAAACCCAACTCCCAGTCATTGCTAAAGGATGTGTCAAGACCCGGCTCTTTAGTTTGCCCTTTACTGAAATAGCATTTGTCAGTTTCTGTGACCAATACCTTTCACGGTGCCTTTGTCCAGCCCACTAAATGTAGCGGAAACATACAATCTTTTTCACTTCTGAGCTTTTAATTGAGGCAGGAAACAAAATTACCCACTAATGTTTTATAATTGTTCTGTTTTAATGCATTCGTTAGACTGGAAGTCATATGAAATCACATTTTGTGTTTCTCACTGATACTTGGCAAAGTGATTTTACAAGGCTTTTCAGAATAGAAACAGTCAATAGAAAACTCAAAGTGTCAATACTAGTAACCATTAGGAGCAAGCATTAATCTACTTTAAATATAAGCTATTATTTTAAGAGGGATTTGGTTTTGACATGTTAGGGCCTCTGAATTGTGGCATTTCAGAGCTGGTGAGGCTTCAAGTCAAACTTGTACACACACGTATTAATATCCATATATACTCACAAACATATGCATACACACATATATACACCTACATATATGCATATGCACACACATATAGACCTGCACTCATATTTATATATACATACACATGTCACCACGTCCACTCGCATATATATGTGTGTACATATATACACATATACTCATATGTGGACACACATATATATACCCACACATATATGTATCTACACACATTTACATATATATAGCAGAATAATAGAAAATAAGGGCTCTGGAATGGGGCAAACTTTATAACCCTATTGATTCTGGCTTTATTTCCTCAGGTAACTATGTAAACTTTTAAAATCTAAGTTTAATATATATATATTGATTTCAGAGAGGAAGGGAGAGGGGGAGAGAGAGATAGAAACATCAATGATAAGAGAGAATCATTGATCGGCTGCCTCCTGCATGCCCCCTACTGGAGATTGAGCCCACAACCTGGGCATGGGCCCTTGACGGGAATTGAACCCAGGACCCTTCAGTCCACATGCTGATGATCTATCCACTGAGCCAAACCAGCTAGGGCTAAAATCTAAATTTCACCACTTGTGAAATGAGGAAAATACTATTAGTCTTAGATTGACTATGAGAAACAAAATGGATGGATTGTGTCTAGCACTTTAACTTCCATCTAATAAGCCTACAGTAAATATTAGTAGCTAACATTGTGCACAATATGTACAAAATGTGGACAATGAGTAAACTTAAGAATAGATAGTTGTGTTCATTGTCTTGACCTCCATGCTGTTCATAATCATGGTGGGCTGGGTACCTCTGGTTTGGAAACTGGGCCTAAACCAAGGGAAGTGGCATATTTGGAAAAGGGCTTTTAAACAGAGGGTAACAATCCAGTCCTGGTTGAGGGTGGAAGGAGAAAAGCATTCAGGGGCCTGGAAAGTGGGGGAGCCAGACAGCCTGTTGAATAGCCTTGTCTCGCCTGAAGGTGAGCAGAAGCTGCCTTTGCTGCGTGTGTTCTGTGTGATTCACACATGTCAGTCTCCGCTGGGTGGGCAGTGACCGCCTGGATCAGCTGGGAGAAAGCTGGTGGATGGGAAGCTTCGGCCACAGGCACCCAGTGTGGCACAGTCTGAATTCTGAGGCTGGGGTGGGGGGTGGGAGAGGGTGGGCAGGGGCTGGCATGAGTTTGAAAGGAAGAGGAACCAGACGGACTGGCATCTGGAAAGGTCAACTGTGCACACAGCTGTTGTCTGGGGCAGAGCCAGGAGCCAAGGCCAGAAGCTTAGGGTGAGTCAGAATGGGCATGGGCACCACAGGTGCAGGGTGACCCAGAGGCTGTGCCAGGACCAAATGTTCATCAGGCTGCCCAGACAGCCCAGGCACCAGGTGGTTTCAAGACCAAGAACAAGGTTAGCCAGAAATGAATCCAGGGAACTGGCTGAAAGCTGGAGGGAGTGAGGAGTAAGTCACAGGCTGGATCAGGGCAGGGACAGACTGGAGGGGGGAGGAGGGTGAAGTTTGTGTGGCTTCTGCTGTCATCTATCCCACTGGTTCTCTGTGCAGAGTTTGTGTCTCTGGGCCTGAAAGTTGATGCAATGGCTTCTAATGAAAGGAAAGGGAACAGAGTGAGCATAAGAAGAAAAATCGTTTGCTTTTGTGAGGGTAGAAATCTGCGGTGGCCTGCAGAGAGGAGTCCCACAGAGGCAAACCTATAGAAGTTTCTGAGAATCAGGCTGGGGTTGGAGTGGGCTTTCTTTGTAGGCTCCACTTCATCTGCTGACCCTTAAATGTTGTTTTACCGTGGGGTTCTGTCATAGGCTTGTGTCAGAATTGGTTTGGTTTTGCTGCAGTAACAAATGACTCCCAAATCTCAGTGGCTCATAACATTTTTTTTTCTTGCTCTAGCTGTGTGTTCATCGTGAACTGGCTACCGCTCAGTTGCTTGCAGTCTTTATTCAGAGGCCCAGGCTGACTGAGCAATCTCTGGAATACTGCCGCTTGTCATAGCAGACGGCAAAGGGACTGTGGAGATCCCTGAGCTGACCTTAGAGCTTCTGCACAGAGGGAGGGGACACATGTCATTTCTCCTCCCATTTCATTGGTCAAAATATGTCATGTGGCCAAGCCTGACAGCAACAAGGTGGCAAATGGAATCCTTCCCCAGGGATGGGCAGGGAATCTTTGTAGCAGTAACACAGTCCACCCCATGACTATACCGACCCCAGGGTCATCTCACTATTCCTATGTCTCAGTAGCTGCCCATCTAATTCTAGATCCCATCCCCTCGCTCAGATCTCTGCACTGAAATCCTGGGCCACTGCTCACCAGGTTACCCAAATCAGACACCTAGGCGTCCTATTTGACTTCTCTTTCTCCTTATTCAATCCCTGTACCCAACCATCAGTCAGAAAGTTCTTTTGATTGTCCTCAGTAAATATCTCTTGAATATCTCTGCTTCTTTTAGTCTCTCCTACCCCTGAGAGTTCAGGATGTAATCTTTTGGTGAGCTCTTAATTCTGGGTGGATGTTCTCTAATTTTGTTTCTTTTCCAGTCTGGCTCCGGGACGAGGTGCATGACACAACCGCCTATTCGGCCGCCATTTTCTAACCCCCCTCAGTGAGCTCTTAAATAATCTCGATGCCACTATATTTCCCCTTTCAACTCGTTGCACCCGGCATTCAGAGTGGTCTTTCTGATTTGCAGATCTGATGATACATCCTTCTGTCACCACCTCTGCTTAAGCTCTTGCATGGTTCTGATTGTTCTGAGGATAAAGCTGTGGCACGCTAGTAAGAGTCTCTGCCTCTCCAATCTCACCTTAACCATTGCCCCACCCCTCACAATGGTTGACATTTCATGCCCCCATCATACCGAACCCCATTTATTCTTTCTAACATGCTTGTTCTCTCTTATTCCGAGACTATTGTGTGTGTTGTTTCTTCTGTTACGCTCTATATCCTCTTCAGCTGGCTAACATTTTTTAAAATTAAATTTATTGGGGTGACATTGGTTAATAAGATTATATAGTTTTCAAGTATACAACTCAATAATACATCATCTGTATATTGCATCACCTATATACCCCAAGTCTAGTCTCCCTTTATCAAAATATATATGACACCTTTTAGCCTCTTCAACTTACCCCCAGCACTCTTCCCCTCTGGTAAATCACCCTTCTGTTGTTTGTGTCTTTGAGTTTGTCTGTTTGTTCATCTGTTGCTTTCTGTTTTATACCCACATCTGAGTGAAATCTTGTCCTTTTCCATCTGACTTATCTCGCTTAGCACAATGCTCTAAAGATCCATCCATGCTGTCACCGATGGCAGCAATCCATCCCTTCCTCTGGCTGAGTTGTATTCCATTGTATAGATGTAACACATCTTCTTCATCCAGTCATCCATCGAAGGGCACTTGGGTTGTTTCCTCGTCTTAGCTATCATGAATAATTCAGCTGACGAACTTCAACTCATCCCTCAGATCTCAGCATGAACATCACCTCCCCCAAGAAGGCCTCCCTGGCTCCTTCCTAAGCTAAGTGTACTTCCGTGGCCCCATGCTTCCTTTCCTGTGGCACAGATTGCCCAGAGCTCACTTAAATGTCTGTTCTCTGTTTCCCTGCTATACTGTAATACCTTTGAGGGCAGTGACTGGTTTCACGTTATGTCTCTAACTCCTAGCAGAGTGCCTTGCATGGTCTAGGTGCTAGTAAGTATTTATGGAATGATGATGAATGTCCATTTATGGTGTCAAACATTAGGGTTTGGCCTGAGCCAAGAGCAAGGAGAGAAGGACATGAAAATGTCCTTACTTCCTTAAAGTGAAGGGAAGTTGAGAAAGACTAGCTTGGCTTAGGGCTAAAGAGATAGTATCAAAACAAAACAGATTTCTGGACAAACGTTAGGGGAGACAGGGTCAGGAAGAAGTGAGTTCCACTGTAAGTTTTAAGAGAGAATGATTTTTGTTGTTGTTCTTTGCAGAATCCTCATGCCTAGAACAGCCAGCATTCAATGCATAGTAGGCAGCTTATAAATACTTCATTGAGTGAATGAATGAACAAATTGTGGGTCAAAGTTCTTGGCTCCAAGAACCAACCCAGGCTGACACAGCAGAACAAGGATTTATTAGAAGGATATGGGGTAGTTCACAGAATCAGCATAAAGACCAGAGAATCAAACTTTGCAAATGAACAGCAACCAAGGACAGCCAGGCAGGTGGAACCATGGCCAAGGCTGTGTCACAGGAATACCCTGCTAAGGACACCTCCGCGGGCACCACCGCTGCCAGGCCTGATGTCCCTGGCATGGCCACCACTGGCCATTAGCTGCAGTGCCACTGTTCTCTAGTGCCACTGCCCTCCTTGACCATGTCACCTGACTTTACTCCTTCAAGATTCAAAGTCCCAGACAGGAATG